GATCTTCATACCTTGGATGTTAGAGTAAGCTCATCAACCAAACCAGACATGTCAGATTACGCAGCCCTATTCTTGCCTTTCCTTGGGTGTTAACCGTTAATGACCCTAAACTGAAAGGTTAGGACAAGTGGTTTCGTGACTTGATTTTCATGCTTAAAAGCTCATCTCATTACCTCAATCGTACTTGTTTACGGACTTACGCAGTCTCGGTCAAGGCTTTCTTTTGGGTCATTAGGTCTTGAGGATCATAACCTGAGAATAAACCTTCGACAACTCTGATTTAGGACGGTATTGTTTATAGACGCTAACACGCACACATACACATATGCATACACTCGAGCAAAAGTAACAGGAACATTAGGAAAGAAAATTGACCAAACCACTCTATATCGATCTATCTAGGTTTTTAATTTCTATTTGGCTCAATTGAGTCTATATAAGAAGTAAAATAGAGCCGAATAGTGTTCTTGGGTTAGCGTTAACGTGAGACTTGTACAAGAATGAAACCCAGTTCTGATGATGTCCATCATATGATGGACGAAAGATCAGCTTGTTTTCACCCGAAACGAATGAGGAAGTCTCGTGGACTGCGTCAACATAAATATTGTATAAAAACCAAACGCCTGCAGTACAGCGAGATTTATCCGTCCCCATCCGGTGAGATGGACAAACGAGTCTCTTCTTCATTTACTTTCATACGAAATGAAAGTCCTTCTAACAACTTTATTCAACTAGAGTATCGATGAGTTTAATATTCGTGGTGTGAGTAGGCATGTAGTAGTATAGAGGACAGATAGTTCAATTTTCTCGAAACTCTACTTATAAACTTAAACTAAGTAATGCAGTAGATTGTTATAGCAAATATAACAATGTTTCATCGACAATCCCACCAAGGTATGTGATATATAAAAATCCCTGACCTTTCTTAAAATTCACATCTGCCCTCTGACCCAAGGGCACTCGTGACAATGTGGCGTAGCGGTTACACGCTGTACTGTCATGGTTCGAGTCTCGTTGGGGGTGCTGATAAAGCCTAGGCGATATCAAAACTGCAGTCCACTCCAACTTGGATAAAACCGCCTTTTGGGAAAGTAAGGTCATGTAAACTTCAATAGAAACGTCAGATCTACTCATATTAATGTTGGAAAAATCAATATCAGTCCTTCATCACTTTAAACGAAATAAGGTGAATACATTTCAGCTAACTGAAGTCTTCCATCTGATGTAGTAAGGCTTTCAAATTCCGTTCAAAACTGGGTCAATCGATCTCTGAAGGTGTCTCGCTAAATGTTCTACGCAATGGACATCGCCATTTGGCCGAGCTTTTCGATGTATTCTGCATTCAAGCCTATGCCAACTCGTCAAGTTCGACTGGCCGGTTAAACCCAAAGGAGGCGAAGTTTTCTAGTCTTGTGTTTGCCAGCGATATTACTAGAATCATACAAAAAATACTAGGATCTCTTATGAAAACTATAATGTTTTAGCATACTTTTGCAAAGGCCTTTGGAGATGTCATAATTCAGAGACCAAAATCTCTGTCAAAACGAACACCAACCTTGCTAGGAATAAGATGCTTTTTAATTAAGGTCAAATGTTAATTGGTTCCTTCTATTACGCTTTATTATATTATTTTTACTGTATTCTTTTAACCATTTGCAAAAATGTAACTCTCTTTGATCCGATAGAAATCGTGTGTGAACATGCAGGCCTTTACTAAGAGCTAGGTTCGTTGATAGTTCTGGTGGTGGTTTGACGGGGAGGACTCTACACCATAAAAAAATGTATGAAAACACCAAATGAATGAGGGCTTGCAGGGTGCCTGCAGACATAGCTAACCTGATATGTCGCTTAGAATGTAGTCCTTCACTGCAGCCATGATATCATGCCGTCCCTGAAAATTCTTCACATGTCTGTTGCAGGCCTTCAGATGTTGAAGTACCTCTTCATAGGCCGGATCGCGTTCGAACGAGGCCATATCGGCTACACTGCGATCCACCATGGCGCGCAACTTTAGCTCAAAATCAGTTGACAGTTTCCTGAGGTACCTGGCTCCTGAAGGGAAAGCGAAGAATCAGGCATCAATAGGAAATGGACCCTAGGCTAGGCTACAAGATAAAGAAGAAGTTCGTCGTCCGAAGTCACGTAAGGTGACTTATGGAAAATGCCTTAAGTCAGTGGTTGCCAACATTTTTCTAGTCGCGACGCCCTTTTTCAATTAAAATTTCTTCATGACTATTCGTAAGTAAAATATAAAAATAAATAAAACTCGTATATCTTCACTATTAGTTTATACTTTATTAACATTAAATTAATATTAAATAATTAATGTGATGGATGAGCCTGCAAATCACTGCTCATTTTCTCAAATTGAAGTTTTTATAATTTTTCGCGACTCCTCGGGGCACCGAGGTGCACAATTTGGGAATCACCACCTTAAATAGTCTACGTAATGTCATTGAATTTTTCCCAGTCTTGCTCCCTTCTCTGGTGCCAAGGTGATTTGAGTGAGGCGAAATCTGCAGGCCAGCCTGGAGAGGAAATGCGCTTCCGAGGCAAAGCTGCGAGGAATTCATTGGCGTCATGCGACCTACTTGTATCATTGCGGGAAAAACCGCATCATTAGTCTTTACGTCACCTCAACTGAGATACGGCGACTAGGTTGTTAGTTAAAAATCACCAATGGACTCGACCTAGTATATACATCATATTCAATTGGGATAATCATATGGATTGCTTTAAAATTCGCTACATGCTAACTAGAGTTTTGAGTTCATGTGACACAATAATCGGTATCACGTCGGAGAGGCAACTTAAGCTCCGAAGTGTTGGTAGCATTTAAGCCAGCTGGCCATTCTTGATTATCTGCGATGGTGTTATGAATAGGCGGAAAGGCTTGCTTGTTTGACTCCCATTTAAGCAAATAACTAATGAAAGAATGCATCATGAAAGAGGTAAGACTGACACCAAAAATGGTAGCTAAGTAAATGAATGATTATTTATCAATTTGCCAATTAAGAATGCATATTTAGTGCATATGATGAATGTGGTAGTCATGGGCCTACCATTATCAGAAAGCTACGAATTTTCCTTATGAATAGATCAAGTTGCATCATCAAGACCAAACTAAGTTAAGTGTGGACACAAACCAAATTGGCGTATTAAACTTTTATTGGAAAGACAAAACTACATTTTGGATGCGGCTATTGTGACAGTGTACGCTCCAAGTTAAAAGTGTTGGTCTCACTTTCACTTCGAATGGTTGTCTGTGATGAAATGAAGCAAAGGTCGATTCCATCAAAAGACGTCGGCAGATTCGTCTCAACAGGGTTTAGTTTGTATTGAATCAAACCTTCTGTCAGTTGCGTTCATGTTTGGCAAAACCTTGCCGCGAAAATACCTCTGATGCCACTAGGCAGACGTCATCAGAAAAGGGTAACACTCGTGCTACCAACTGAAGGTAAGGTATAAAAAACTCACCAACCGTGCGCTGCATATAATTACCCTAAAACTCGGATTTTTGGTGAGGAAATCTGAAGTAAAAATTTAAAATAGCTTATTTAAATGAGCAAAAGCTTCTGTAATAGCTGTGTACCAAATGATATGGTTTATTTAAAAGTAATATTGACTGCTTTAATCTATTCGTAAGAAAGTAGGGTTTCGAGACTACCAGTAAATCATTGTAATGAGATGTATTCACCCTAT